GCATTCCTGAAATGAGAATTGAGAGGAACAAATTCCTGAATCCAATTTAGTTCTGATTAGGAAACTTGGCACACAGTCTGAGGAATTTAAGGGAAGGGGTAGACAGGAATTGAAATACCACTGGGAAATTCTGACATTTTAAAAAACATGCTGAATATGGAGGAAAAAGCCCCAAAGGTAGGAATTTCCCTTGAAATGACCAACAGCAACTGTCTGTTAGGTCACTCTCTTACTATTCAGTTTCAGCAGCATCAATTTGATTCATTTTGATTCAAGTTCTTATAAAAAACAGGCGGTCACACTAAATGAAGCAGGATGGTCAAATCAAAGCAGAATAATTCTGACAACGATGACATGAAGCATTCTGACTTTTTTCAATGGCAAAAGTGCCAATGAAATTGCATGTATTTCACTGAAAAATGTCTAGTTGCAAATTTTCAACTCGCTGCTGCTCTAGGATAGCAAGCTGGTTTTTTTTTTCCTATGTCTCCTTGTTGCCTCAAGCAGATGGCCATGCCATGTATCAAAAAACATAAAAAGAACCTTAACATGCCCTCAAGGGTTATACACTAGCATCTCCAAAATGGTGGCAGCACTTAAGAGTGAGGTCTAGAAAAGCTGCTGAGCATGAACAAACAGGGACTACAAGTTGCCTTCAACTGTTTGTTTCTGTCTTGCCTTCTGAAAGCTCTTTTAGCAAAATCTGAAGGCTGTGAGTTTGCTCGGGGCACTTCATGTCACAAGGGGTAAAGGCAACTCATACGGTGCGTATGCCTTGCAGGTTCGGAGCTGTGGCCTGAGAAGACACTGGAATAGGGAAGGCAGAGGCAAAATGCTGATTATTGACAAACTGATAAAAATCAAAGAAAAAAAGAGAGAAGACAAATGGATGAGGATCTAGGGCTGATTTTTTTTAACCTTCCTTCTCTGCTGAATATATTTACTCTGTATATAAGCTCTTCTCTCTGTTTATTTTCCACCCCTAGACAATACAGCATGGATTTTGACAAGGCGCTCTGGCTTCAGACAGCATGAGCAGAACACCTTTTACCTCCCCATCCTGATTAGCGACAATGGCCGCCCCGTGCTGAGCAGCACGGGTACGCTGACCGTGCACGTGTGCAGCTGTGATGATGACGGCATGGTGATGTCCTGCAACGCGGAGGCCTATGTCCTCCCCGTCAGCCTGAGCAGAGGGGCACTCATTGCGATCCTTGCCTGCATCTTTGTCCTGCTAGGTAAACCCTTGGCTTGTTCTTGGGAGGGGACAAACTCTTCAGTTCTGGCCAGGGGGTTGCTGATCCACTGAATGCGAAGGACAGAAACACACACACATATCGATGTATACGTACATATATATATAATATGTAGACACACATACTTAAAGGGCCAAATCAAAGACCAGAGGGTGTAGTCAGCTGCATACGGCTTCAAACCCTGGGTTGTAGGAATGGGGGAAAAATATGGCCTGCAAGTATTTCTGCCAGATCCCCAAAGTGCTAGGGTGTCTGGTATGGCCCTGCTTTCCTGGAAGGGGTATGCCAGGAGGAAGTAGAGAGCTGTGGCTGGGGACAAGTTACTTTCTCATCCTCAGGAGTTTCTGATCATATGCTCTCACAGAAAACAGGAGTGCTAAGTCCAGTTCCACCTCTTGTCTTTTGGCAGGAGATATCCCCACCTCCATCCTTTTCCCTTGACATGCTACATTTAAATGGTGCCTGTGCAGCTATAAAGGGGCTGAACATCTTGCATGTGTTCTGTCTCCACAAATAAATTTCATCCTTTCCTTGCCCAGGCCTTCTGTGTCCCCTGTTAGCTGTTGGTATCAAAAGAACTCTCATTCACTCTCTTGAGTCACAAGATATTAGTTCAAAACACACTTTCCCTGAAATTTCAGGGGAACCAGTCCGAGGAGCAGTGGAGTAGAAATACAGGAAAAATTCTTTAAAAGTGCCTCAGTTCTGGCCTTGCAAAGGAGCCTAGATACCTCAGTCCAAAATTTCAGCATTCCAAACCTTTGCTGAGTTCTAGCCCTGGAAATACAGTCACCAGGTGACAACACATTTTCAGCAGTAAAAACCTCTGGTGCCTGTATGACCACTTCTCCCCAAGCTAAGAAGCGTCTGCAGCCCTTCAGTGCAGAGCAACTGATGGCAGTTCTACCCAGCCCAAGGCAGTGCCTTGTAGATAAACACAAAAATGCTTTGGAGCAGACCAAGGTGCTAGCTCTGCATTTTGCCGTGTAGACAGACATATCGCCACGGTGCTCCGGCACCATCCGTCCACGTCACGTGCAACACCCAGCCCAAGAGGCATCCCCAAAGCAGGCTGCAAAAGCCAGCTACACAGCTGGAGAAAATTATCTCTATGGAGCTGTGTGCCACTGCAGATAAACTGTTAATGATAGCTGATATGGCTAGCTTAAAAGTAGCTCAAGCATCGCTACAGTGCATTGGCAACCACCACTGGATAGACATGTCCTAAGTCTCACTGAGTGTTAAGAATTAAGGTGGGAAAAGGGACAGATTAGCAGGACCTCAAGCTACTAATTTTGACTGGGGGAGGGGATTTCTGCACCCCTTCACCCGGAAACACCACAGTTCTTTAAATCCAAGGGGCTGGCTGGGCTCACCGAGGGGAAAACAGGGCAGCAGAGAGTCTGAAGCCCTTGCAAGACCTGCCCCCTCGCTGACGGCCCCGTGTCTCGGTTGCCTCCCGCAGTGCTGGTGCTCCTCATCCTCTCCATGCGGCGCCAGCGGAAGCAGCCGTACATCATCGACGAGGAGGAGAACATCCACGAGAACATCGTCAGGTACGACGACGAGGGCGGCGGAGAGGAGGACACGGAGGCCTTCGATATCGCCGCCATGTGGAACCCGCGGGAGGCCCAGCTGGTGGTGAAAAACCGGCAGGACATGCTCCCTGAGATAGAGAGCCTCTCCCGATACGTGCCTCAGGCGTGCGTCATGGACAACAACGTCCACAACTACGTGCTCGCCAAGCTCTACGAAGCGGACATGGACCTGTGGGCCCCTCCCTTCGACTCCCTCCAGACGTACATGTTTGAAGGGAACGGCTCGGTGGCGGAGTCCCTCAGCTCCCCACAGTCGGTGACGACAGACTCAGACCAGAGCTACGACTACCTGACGGACTGGGGGCCGCGCTTCAAAAAGCTGGCCGAGATGTACGGTGCCACGGACAGCAGCGGGGCTCTGTGGTAACAGACGAGGAATGGCAGAGAGGTTTCCATGCGAAACAGTGTCCGGTTAGGTCCATTCTCATCAGATGCTTCCATGGACATGGGTGAGGCCTCCTAAAAAATAGCAATACAGTGCTTGGATGAGAATGGGAAGAAGGGTGCGAATGAAGGTCTCTCTGGATCAGCTTTACTCAGTTAAATTAAGTCACGTTTTTTGAAACAGTGAGAAGAAGAAGGAAGAAAGTTTTCTTTCCTGTTTTTTACAGCAAAATCGGAAAGCTCCATGACTGGAATATAATGACATTACTCTCTCTCTCCCTCCCTCCTTCTCTCTCTCCCTTGTACACGGCAGCTTACTGAGCTCTATACGTCTGGATTCAAAGATCTGTAAACTCCAACTGTAATCTCTGACTCACTGAGAAATTGCCAGCATAGAAAAGTGGTTCCCCACCAGTTATTTTTCCCCCATTAAAAAGGAGAAAAAAAAATTGCTTGCTAACAAAAGGAAAAAAAAAAAATCCCATAAAGCAGAAAATTGAAACTGGAATCTCAGAGGGCTCTTTGTAAACTAAACCTCCTCTCTCTGTTGCTAACAGAGTCCTTTTTTAATCCTTTAGAAACAAGGCTGAGGGTTTTTTTCCACCTAGCCAAGCAGGCTGGGGAAGAGGCTTTGAATTTCTGCTCTAGTTTAATGGCTGATCTATGAGCGTTAACACTAATCCGTCTCCTATCAAGTTTGTGTAAATTTATTCTCGGTTCTTTAAAACCTTGACTCCGCTAAACTGCTCAGAACAAAACCAGAAAATCTGCCTCTTTTGCACTGTAGATGTCTCTTCCATGTGCCAAATGTGAAGATTAGATTCTACCAATGAAAGCCAAATAAATTTTAAAAAAAGAAAAAGCTATATTTGGTAACTACATGGGTTAGATGGGCTTTCCTAATCTGTGTGAGGTCAATCCAAGGGATGTTTACATACTGTAGATAACCTACTTGAACAAATGCAGTATTATAGACCAATAAATGGATGTAAGAAAATTACATGTATAAGTTTTGTATATTTGTTAATTTTGGTAATAAATATGATGTACTGAATACAGTACAGTACCTTAGCACCTCTTTTAATAAAAGTTAAACAGAAGGGAAGTCTGATGGCAATTTATTGACTACTTTGCACACAGCAGTTAGTGCTTATCTGTGGCTTTACATGCCTTGAGCATCAAGAAAAAATGGTTCATCAGCATCATGTCAAGGAGACAAGCCTTCAGTTTGCAGGTTTGAGCAGATTGTCTGCTTCTTTTATCAGTGTTCACTTGGACATTGTCCTTGGCGGTGAAGCAGCCCAAGTGCAGCCCACCAGACTAGTTACTTTTCTATTCCAACCATGCTGAAGTCAAAAGAAAGTCTTGGCTGATTTTTTTGAAACGTTATGGCTGGGGCATTGAGAAGCTTGGAAACCAGTTACACAGACCTGAAAGAATCTCATGCCTTCAGACACACAATAGACTGTAACATGCAATATCCATTTACAGTCATTCTTACTCTGCAATCAAATTTTTGAGCCTGGATCTTATCTTGTTTGCCTGTGTAAATGGGAAGGGCCAGGGAAATTATACTAACACAAGTTTCATGGAAGATGGAGAAAGGCTTCTGAAAGCAGAACAGTCTGCAATGACATTTGCAGGTTTCTTTCTAGCCAAGGACTCTCTGCATCTCAAATTGCCCAGAAAATAGATGTGCAGACATAACCACCCAGTTACCACACTTCTACCATGTGCATACTGTGCTCAGTTTCCGTTGCAGATGTACCCAAAACACTGCTGTCTCTACTTTACCTAATCTTAGGCTGTACCAGTTTAAGGCAGGAGCCTTGTTTCCACAGACTCGTACAAAGTCATGCACCCCTGGAGAGCCAGGCAGCCATCAAGGAAAAAGAGTTTTAGTGACATCTCAAACATTTGCTCATCTGACGCGATGAAAATCTGTGCCTTCACAAACATAATATGCCACGGGTTCTGCTTATCACCTGAACCCGCCTTACACCATTGCAGAAAGAGCACTGAAAATTATGTCATAACAATTCTTTTACTCATTCTGTAGCACTTGCCCTCACATATCATATTGATTTTATAACACTAAACTAAGAACTGTAACCACCATGATCAAGGAAGCGGGGTACAGCACACAAAACTGGTGTTGAGACTTCTGAGAGCTTCCTCACTTCCTGATGCAACAGGAATCACAGAACATAAGGTGGGAATGAAGATAGAGAGGACATCTATTCCACCACTTTCCTGTCTGAATTAATCATCAGTTTTATATATTTTAAGCAGATGCTTGTTTATTCTTAAAACCCCCAACTGTTAAGGCTCTGTAACCTTTCTAGGCAATCTTCCACTGTATCAATATATTCAGTGTTGAAAGCCTTCCCTGGGAAGTGTAAGGCAAGTATCCCTTGCTGCCATACAAGCCTGCAGTGCACATAGATGATTTTGCCTCTCTGTAGAGCTACCTTTTGGTATTTTCAGACCATTACTGTCGCTCCCTTTTGTCACAGTCTACAGTAAAAAATGTTCTTCATGTCCTGACACCACAATGGTTTACTTCTCCCATTGTAGGCAGAGTGGGAGGACAGGGAGTAGAAATGCAGTCCAGCATCATATTGCCTTCAACCTGAAGATACCTACTGCATTTACTGAGGGTTTTCCCAGGACGAGCTGCTCCAAGGTCCGGTTTTGCTCCACAGAAGCCCCCAGCAGTGCCCTCTGCAAGACAGGCTATGCAGCAGCTGAGACCAGCTTCTGGGGTTGTGTATCACCCAGTGAGGAAGGACCAGCGACACTTGAGTTAGGTACTTGCACTCGCACCGCAGGGGAGCCTGCAGGGACAGCAGGCTCTGAACCCACCTTCCCAAGCTGCTTGTCACTGTTAGGCTATCTGATTAACCCAGGTTTGCCTCAGCTTGTGAGCCCCGTCAGCGGTCAGACAGCTTGATGCTGTGACACTTACCAGCTGGTGTTTAGTAGGCACTTGGCAGCCTGGCTTTTTTTTTTCCATTTTATGGAGCAGGTGACAGTGTTTTTGAGGTCTGTGAAATTTCTGTGCAAAAAACTAACACTTATATCTATCACCCTCCCATACACAAAACCAAAGAATTGTCTGTTTTCACTGATAGGATATAAAAAGGATCCATTTATGGACACACCAGGGCTCAGCAGGCCTGGCCCAAAGTAGGAGAGGGGAGAAGACTGTAAGCCCAAAGGAAATATGTGGTGCCACAGGCTGGCAGTGAAACAGATGTGCTGATCACACAGGTCCTCAATCTCCCACCCTGGGGCTCCTCAAGGCCAGCCCTGGCAGTGTGCATGAACATTCGCAGCACCAAATAAAAGCTGCCAGTGGTTTACAGCCAGCAAGCTCAGCCTGCCATGCTGGAGGGACTGGGCTTCTCCACACCAGCAGACACCTCCAAGTGACAGTCCCAGTCCTGCATGGGACCCACACTCTACCCACTGCCATGGTGCAAGGGCAGAAATGTCAGAGGGCCAGGATAAAATCCCATATGCTCTCACCAGTGTCCCCAGTCCCCCTGTGCTCCAAGGCCGGTCTGAGTGCATAGAGTTTTTATTACTATTCATTTAATTTGGTTCCTCTGACAACATTTTTTTTTCCACAGCTGCCAGTTCTTAGGAAAAAACAAAAGGACTTACCATCCAGGAGCAATCCCCTAGTCTCAGCTTTGGCTGAAAATAAATGGTTCAGAGGAAAAAATAAAAGAGGGTGTAAGTCATTTGACTAATTCCAGCCATTTAAAAATTGAGCATATGGCCTAAGCAACCTATCTAAGCTCGCTGTCTAACAGAGCTAGACAAAGAGTGATTCATTCCCCCATCTTGGCCATCTGTATGATGCTATGGCCCTCTGGAGGTGTTTCTCTCTCGGTTAGTGGCCTGGCCTCTGGGGATTATCCATGCAGTTCAGAGTCTGGCCCTCGGCATGACATTCTCAAGCCCTCTGCTCTACACTTGGTTTTGTGAATGACCATGGGCAAACACTACAGTCTCTGATGTTTTCCTTTTCCCTTCCTACCACCCATCTCTGTCTTGTCTAGGTAGATTGCATGACCTGCCATCTCTTACACTGCATTGGTCATCACATCTAGGCTCTGAGTAGCAGTTCTCTTTAGGCCATCTGTCAAGAGCCCAGATCTCTTCAGAGCAAAATGCAGAACTCAAGAATGCATAAAAAGAGTTCACATCATTCTTTCTGGTGTAAATTTTCTTGCAACACTGCGTTTCATTTGCTGCTGCATTGCCCATTTATCCAGCTTTATTAGGTCCCTCTTGACTTTGTCATTTCTCCTCCAGCTTTTATTGCTCTTAATCATTTTATGCTACCATCACATTTGCTGCCTACAATCCCCCATTAGACCATTCATTAAAACCAATAGTGACACAGATCCTTAGGGGACCCAGAAGTTATATTTTGGTCACCTTGAAATATGATTTACTAGCCTGTGCCTGGGTTTTGCTTGGTGCAACTGTCATATAGCACAAACTAGAACCTGCTTCATTGCCTGCTGCCTGACCACAGCTCCCAGAAACCATCAAACCAGAGGGACAGATGGGTCCCAGAGGTCTGCCCTGCATATGCACCGCATCTTACTTGTCCTGGCCATGAGTAAGAGAAAGGAGGCATATAAAACAGGCACAAAAGATGTCTGACAGACTCCAGAAAAGTTCTGACCTGGACAAATTCAAAATTGAGCAGATTCAGTTGCTTTTGCCCTTGTGCTGCCAGTGTATTATTACTAAGGTGCTGTCAGATGTGATCACTTTTGTTTATGCTAGCTTAGCTGTCAGTTAGACCAAACTCAGGAGAGGCTGCTGCTCCTGGGGGAAAAGGTGGGTTCAATAACAAGCAAGGACAACATGTGAGGAAATCCATACTGTTGCAAGCTAAATATGCTGCTGCTCTCCCTCCTCCTGTCTGTCAGGATGTGAGGCAGCCCATTGCATCCTGCTCAAGAAATAGCCTTTAATGTATTCTCTTCACATGCAGCTGGTGTAAACAGGGAGTCGGTCTGTCCAAGGCATCCTAATTTGTGCCTGCTGAGATCTGCAACACTCAGAAGAGGAGGAGCTGCCTTTCACTCAGTAGTGCCCTGTCTCTCAGGGCAATGCATGTGCCATCACAGTGCTCCAAGATAGCCACTGCTACAAAACAGCTGTATCACCTAAGGGATTTGTTCTCATGCATAGAGGTCAGTGATTTGCCTCTCATTTGGACTGTAATGCAGTAATAATCTGTATCAGTGCATCCTCTTCAAACAGAGGAAAATTAGCAGGGACAGCAGTGAACCTGAGGTGGAGTCAGAGCTATGATCCAAGGAAAGCAATAAGGGCTGGAGAGTCTCACTGCCAAGCCAAAGCTTTAGGGACAGATTTTCAGTTTTGCTTTCCTATATCAACCTTCTAAAGATCTTGCCCCCACAGACATGCAAGATATTTTACTGTTGGCATCAGAGATGGCAAACCAGGACACCTGCATCACTGGCTCTGAGAAGAAGCAGCAGTGCAATGCTGATACTCTATTTCCCAAGAGACATTAGAGTAATATGGTGGAGGAGGTGGAAGAGTCTGACTTAACAATTACTTTAAAAAAGTCATGTGATTTTTTTTTAAGAGATGATATACAAGACAGTACACTGTCTCAATACCATTTTCAGATCTCTTTTGTTATTAAGCCCACTATTAAGGAATGGGTATCTTGGGGAATATGAATTTTCCAGCTAGCATCTTAATATCTATAAGGCCAGTCCCATGATGACTGATCCTATAATTTTTTTTGAAAGGTGCATGAGCTACAACATTTAATACTAGAGGCAGAAGTACTTTTCATGCCATATAACAAAAAATAATAATAATGACAATGTCTATCACAATGGAGGGGTCCTGTTTTTGGGAAGGAGGAAAGTTCCCAGACTCATCATGGGATTCAGGAAGCTGAACCCCTAGTTAAAGGTTTATTATTTCCAGACATTCATCCTACCAAGCCAATGTGGGTAAGTCAGAGTACAACATGATCCTCCTC